AGCATATTACGTCAAAGGTTTGGAAGACCTTCGATGATTGCAGGGAAATTATTCGAGGCTGTTAAGGGTAATGGTGGTCAATTACAGGATGACTCCCAGGCACTCACTGAGTTTTTAGATAATTTGCTAATTTACAAGAATGGAATGATTTCGATGAATCGAATGAGTGACCTCAACTCGAGTTTTATACTAGAAGTAATAGCAAGACGTCTACCTACTCGACTGCAAAGGAAGTGGGTGAAGATGAGCTCCCGTATGGAGGATGAGGGTATCGAGCCAAAGTTTGATGATATCCTGAAACTGGTAAATACTAGTGTCAATCAATCTATGAGCAAGTTTTCCAGTCTGTTAGATCTCACCCCTAGAATAGAGCAGTCTGAGGGTAAAACGCAATCATTGATGACGAATAAGCCTCAGAGAGGTGGATATCGAGAAGGCTCCATGATGTCTAGTAATGCATATAGACCTAGTGAGTGTAACAGGTTTCGTAGTACATCCTCAACAGATAAGTTACAAGATGCAAGACAAACACGGTTGTGTTTTACACGTTTGCAAGAGGTGCATACAAAGGTGAACTGTGAACCAGTGAGCAAGTTCAGTGATAAGCTAAATGTAAACTCCAGGCCTGACTCCGAATTGTGTGACGATAACGGTGCGGTGAAGAAGTCTGTAGTTGCAACTGGTAAGCCGTTGTTGAATAGAGTGTCACAGAATAGAGTTACTGCTTCAGAGTGCAGTTCTGACTCCAAAAGTTTACAAGGTATTACTAGTCAGAGTGAAGTTATAAAACCTTTTATGATTTGTGAGGAGGAACCAAAATTGTCTACTTCTGTTATTAAAGAGTTTGAAAATGATGAAGTTGACGGTAAAGTGAATATTCGTGATAATGATCATGATACTTCACAGTTGTCTTTGGTTGATCATTATGAGATGAGGGATATGCCTACTACTGCTAAGTTAAATAAAGGTTCTGTACAACTACAACGTGAAGTAGAATTGAACGCAGATGCAGTTCCAAAAGGTGTGCATACTTGTGAGACAGTCAGTGTAATTGATCAGCGTGTAGCCCACCTATCATCAGATGATAGTGCTAAACCCGAACTAGTAGTGAAAGACAGCAGTGGTGGTAATCTTGCAGTTGGACAACTATCTGAGAGCCGAACAAGAACAGCTTCTGATCCACCACTAAGTTCATCACCTTGTGTCACTCAGTCATCGTTGGTGCTGTCATCCACAATGAAACAGACACCCATCAACTCAAGTATCTTGTGCAATGACTATGGTAGTATCAGTTCGTTTGAAAGGACGAATATCAATGGTCAGTTTAGTGTGGATAAGCCAAGTGTAAAGGAGAGAGTTATTGTTAAATTGACTTGCACGAATAAAGGCATTTCTAGTTTCAAGTTACTATTTGAATGTTATTATCTTTGGTGTAAATTACTCTGTTTCTATACTTGGTTGATGAGATATGTCGTGTGTTTGTTGGTCATCTATATTCTACGATACAATGACATGGGCGTGTTGCCGTTCAGATTTGAGGATATAGCTGATAGAAGGAAGTTAGCAAATGAACTCTGCGACGATTTTCCAACCTAGGGCGTCAACCTGAGAAGGGTTGTAGGCGTACTGCTGTAAGTCCTACAATTCTTCAAAGGGTAGCGCATCAATGAGCAGTCCAATGTGCTTGGTGTGTGATTTTGTACATATGTTCATATTGTATATACTGAATTGATATCATCTGTCATCTAGCTGTTGGTAATTCTGTTTGTGTCCGGACGACTTCCACTTGGATCATCAACCTGAGAAGGAATGTAGGCGTACTGCTGTAAGTCCTACAGTTCTTCAAGGGTAGTTTGTCGTGTCAGAATCCACAACATTTGATGTGTTGATTGTACATATGTTTGTGTTAAATAGTTGTGTGAGTTCCAATTGATGTAATTGTTGGTTAATCTTGTTTGTGTCTGGACATTCCACAACTTACAATCGTCAACCTGTGAAGGGTTGTAGGCGTACTGGTGTAAGTCCTGCAATTCTTCAAGGGTATTCCATCAAGACATGAAATGCGAGTTTGTGTGTACTGTTTGTATATACGTGTGGTGTGTCATATCAATTGGTGTTATTTGAATTCATTGTGTTTACTCGTTGTTTTCGTATCTTGTTTTTATTGCATAATTTTGTTAAAATTTTCGTCGTGATTACTTTCGAAGTTGTGTCCACTCTTCTACATCCGTGAATGAATTGATTGATGTTAAAGACAGCAGATGGGTCGTATACGCCGGGGAGGCTATTGCTGAGAATGAAATGCACACGGAGATAATTGTTAGCTGCGGTCCGACACGCCGGGGAGAAAGAGTGTAAACGACTGAGGCTCGCATGCGTCACCGCTACTAGAACTGAGGCAGAATGAGTGACAAGCGATTTCAGTGGTAATTGGTAATGAGTAGATAAGAGGATGTGCGTAGAGTATCGTGAGGTGCTGCTATGGTCACTTTGCATTCTGCAAGAGTCATTCTAGCAAGTGGAGATTGTGTTGCAAGATGTCAAGAGGAGGTCTCTGTCTGGAGGCGCAGGTCGTCATTGATGTGTGAGATTGTGCTGTGGGTATGCTTGTGGTGTGTTGGCTTTTCTGTTTGTTTTCCATTTCAGCTCTGTCCGTGTGACCCAGGTTCTCGCAATGGCATCCAAGTCAACGTGCATTGGTCGTGAAGGAAAAAAGGGTTGGATCCCTTTTTTGCCGGGGAGTGTCAATGGAGTTGAAGATTGAACGATCAATTCTTGGTTGTTTGCTCAAAATCAACTTCCTCAATTTTCGCGGAGGCATCAATACGACAGTCATCGTCTCATCGGTCGCTGTTCAGAAAGAAGAGTGAAACATCGTCAGAAGTAACAATGATTTATTATTGTAATATTAGTTTTCAGACCTTAGTTTGCTTAGTTCGTTTATTCCTTTTATATGTTGGTGTAACAATAAAGAAATAACAAGCAGCAGATCGGTGTTTTGGTTTTTGCGTCCGTTATTACTAAGCGTTTCTGAAACTCAAAGGAACAGCGTGGGCCCGAGCGTAGCGAGAGCTGGGCATTAACGGTTTATGAGACGCGACTGACAGTTGTATTGATGACTCCCGCGAAAGATATGGAGGAGTTTGGTTTGAGCAAACAACCATGAATTGATCGTTTAATCTTCGACTACATTGACACCATGTGTAATAAAATCTTGTACTGCACAACGTCGAGGCATTGCTTAGTTCTAGTTCTAGCGGAAAAAGAGGGCATATGCTGTCGTACACTTAACACATACACATCTGGGTGTGCTGACCCCTAAGGTCTTTCTAAGTATTTAGAAAAATATGTAATGTCACACCTTGAAATGCACAATATCATTGCACCCCACAGCTTAGAAGAGATGCGAATCTCTTGGAAAAGGTCCAAAAATGGGTGGCAAAAGGGTTGTTTGGTCTGGAAAACAAACCATATGATGAACGGCTGAAGATATTAGGTCTTTTTGCACGTGGCTACCGTTGGCTTAGAGTGGACTTGATTACTTACTACGGGAATACAGCTGACTAGAATCAACCAAACGAAGGTTTTATGCCATTAAGTACATGTTGCCTTCCTTGTATGAATCACTGGAGGGCAATAATTCGAGTGCTCTCCGATTTCTTTTCAGTGTGAGTTTGAGGTCCTGGGAACTCTTTACCTCCAGATGCAGCTACTGCCCCGTCAGTGGACAGCCTTAAGCGGAGGCTGGACAGTCATGCGGAGATTCAGTGACTGCGTCCAAATAGCCTATCTCCCTAAAAATCTCGCAGAATAAACGGATAGACACCTACACTAATCATTTTACTTCCTCAATTGTCGCTTATATCACTATCCTGATCACATCGCTAGCACAGTGGTCAGGACTCTCGCTGATCATGCACATGGTCCGGAGTTCGACCCTCTGCCGACGCACACCTGACATCTGTGGTCGGCCTGCGAAATTCGGGCTACCGACATCACATGCTGAAAACTCCATACCTGTACGAAAAATACGGTGTGGAATCAAGCTGCAATCAAAAGAATAAATTACGTCCCTTACACTGTTATAACCATTATTATTGTCATGTATATGTACTATGTATATATATGTATATATACCACTTTAACTGCTCTTGTGGGGCCAGTTACGTAGGCTGTGCAACTAGACGTGTTTCTCGTAGTATTTCCGAACCTCACCCTACGTGGTTAAATAAAGGATAAACAAAACCCATTGATTCATATTCCATCTCAGCTTATGGATACAGAACAAATGATTGATGCTAACGAGGAGGCTTTCGAAGTCATTCTATGCATAGCAACCGAGCTTAACTTCAACTTATGAGTTCGTCCACTATATATTGCGGAGGCCGTTAGGATCCCCATTAGGAAATCTAACTTTTGATGTATCCAAACGAAGTTGGTTCCGACACTACCCTTACCCTACTGGTCATCAAGGTTTTAATGGTCCTTAATTGGTTGTGGACCTCCCCTTAATTTCATTTGATATTCTATTTGCTGTTATATTTATATGCTTATTATAACTTATGCATCTTTATTGGACTGTAATTCCACTAATCCTATTTAACAAATCTAAGGTATCGAATAAAACACCAGTATTGTTAATGACGACTATTCTAGAATATTCTGTATATGTGAATATATATATAGCTGTAGAGCCAGAAGAGGTAACTATTAATGAAAAAAATTGCTGTTAAATGCATTTGTTGTTTAGGAATGGTGAATTATAGAAGTATTTCATGATTTATTATAATTGTTCCTCTTGTGTCGTTAAATTTCGCAGCCAGCTGGGTTTTAAATTCCTACTCCATCAGTCTTTCTCATAAAACCAGTAAGAGATTCAGATGAGCCCCTGTTCTTGTTCTATTTATCTTGAATGCGGAGAGGGTCTTAGTTTGTTTAAAGCTGCTAGATGGTCAGGACTTTTTCGCCTGCGTTATGTGAATTGCCCTAAATTCCGGATTATGGGCGCGCAGCAAACAAAAGAGCGTACAAGGCGTCCAAATCAGCTGAAAACTGATCAAGACCTACAAATAAACACTTGTACGTTGTCAAACTTCCCTGGATTGTATAAGTAAAATATTTGTGACCCCCATTACCTACATTATATTTCTGTGAAATATGTTGAGGTTTTCAGTTATTTTCACTCAGCTCACGTTATAAACGTTAATTTTCTGGAGCTCTGAATAAACTAGTTACTTAGGTGGACAGTATTTTTTGAGCTGTGAGTAGTACAATCTTTAAAGAACTGACATTTTTCTATAGTGAACTTGTTTTTCACGAATATATATATATATATATATATATATATATATATATATATATATTAGTGGAAAACACATGTACTTATGTGTAACTTTGAAACACTCGTTATTCCTGTGGATATGAATTTCGACCGAAATAAGGTGTAAGAAATGTTGAAAGCGGTTTTTGGGTGGTTGTTCACATAAGACTAGTTCGGCAACTGACTAGTGTCATAAAATATTCAAAGAGCTCGTTACTTTGCAAATTATACTTGATTGTCCACACCTTAGAATTACTTCACAGTGCATAAGTCGGATCCGAAAGTGTTTTTATACTCTAGAGGCCTAGCCAGAAATACACTTATTTGGTGGTATATTTTCTCAAAATAATTTTTTCCTTCAGTCTATAGTTATCGACTGTTTCCACTGATGTTCATCTTTCTCGTCATCGCCGTGCATGTTCCTGAAGGTTACACACTGCATACATGTGACATACAGTCATTATTACAATTATCCTTAAAGGGGTTGTAGGGGACTAATATTAGAGTTCACTAACATTCCAAGTATAAAAGTAATAATCCAAGTCAGTGGAGTGTTAAATCACAATATATTACCAAAAATACAGTGACGAGTTATAGCAACAAAAAGGATTACTTGAAGATAACGTCTAAGTCCTCGGCTACAAATTAATTATATAATCCACGGGCACGTTAATTGTTTGGACTGCGTCTGCTGTAGCTGCTGTGTTCCGGTTGTAGAAATGTCTTCGGTTGAGAGTAGTAGGTCCCTACAATAAATCCGAAGTATACAACATGGTGTGAGTGGAGCAAGTAAGCAGAAGTGACCAGGGAGAAGACGAAGTCTCCAACAGGGTATAGTATTTCCACTAGTCCTTATTGTCTTCAGGAAAAGTGACCTGTTATTTTTGATGCTGTTCTTTCAACCAGGTGACACTTTCTTAAGCCTTTAAGTCTACCACTTTGTATAACTAAACGAAAACACCACATGCTCTGTGGATATGTAAAAATGTGTGCTTTTTGTATCTCACGATGTCGGTCATTGTTGCTAAATGCTCTGTATTAAGCACCTTATCATAGCTTCTAATGTTTTCCACTTTTTCTAAAATCTGTTGTGGAACCTTGGTGGATGACCTATTAGGGGCCTATAAGTAATGCATTTCCATTCGCATGTGTATAGTTGTCTTATTCTGCTGCTGTCTCCTGCTACCTTCCAAGAGTTTCGAATGCGTATCAGTGGATGGTCTTTATCGGCAACTTGACACTTACTAATCACTAATAGATTCGTCATTGTTTATAGCCGGAGTCAGAAATTCCAAGTGGTTAAAAAACAGAGCGATTGCACTGTGTGCATTAACACACAACCACACAATAGGGTGAGAGAGGGTTAAAATTCTAAAAAGTAATATAGGTAGATGGAGGCAGAAGTTAATTATTGAATCTTTGTTCGTTGAATCTACACCCAACACGTGCGATAGGAGCGACTCATCACTCTTATCAGAAATATGGAAAATATTACATTTTATCTGACTCACAACACCCTCTACACTCACAACTCTCCCCATGTATCTCTTCAGGGAAAACAAGAAGTCTATATAGGAAACTATATGCCCGCACTAGTAAGTACAAAAACTCATCCATACCCTACCTAGCCCGTGTTCTGTGTGATAAAGAATGCATCAGGCATGAAACCTTTAACTTATTAAATAGTCACTAGAACCAATGAATCTCGTCTTTCCAACTCACATCATTTATGGGTACAACGTTTTCTCTCTTTTCCATTCTCTCTACCTTTTTTGTCTTTATTTTTGTTAAGTGCTGTTTTGTTTTTCTCTTCCTTGCAAACTCTAGTTAAAACATTCTTGTTGTTCTTTTACACTGTGTATATCTCGACCATTTTGCTATCGCTTACGCCAGTAAATATGCTAGTAGTATCTACTTTTGTAACACCTTCAAACATTTTAATTTTGGCTTTGCTACCGACATACTAATATGTTGTTGAGATAATCTTTAATCTATGTAGAACTTTATTTATTGTTAATGTAAAAACTGGATGCAATATTGTAGTAAAATGCTGAGAATTCCATTCTGTATCACAAGTACTGATTTGGAATAAAGCTTATAATAAAATAAAATAAAAAAATAAAATAATCAAATCAAAAGATAAGTTATAGTGGAATCACAAAAATGAAGTTAGAAAGTTGTGTGAGTAATGCCTTGATATGATTATGAGTAATAAATTGTACATGAAACATTATGAGTTAATATTACTGCATAACACTGAGACTTTATTAAAATAGATTTTACCTACAATGGAATTATACTCTACCACAGTGCACAAGTTCTGTTCTTATGTGTGATAATGATCTGGTTCTCGGTGGTGGTTTTTTGGCTTTCGTCGTTTTTAGTGGACACAGAGTGGAGTGGAAGTGAAGAGCTATCAAGCAGAGTCGTTGCATCAGTGGAAGGAAGGCAAGATAGTAGAGATGAAGACAAAGATGAGTGAGGATTAGAGAGGTTTCGTGTGCATTTTGGATTGTGAGGGCGATTGTGGAGGTCAAACAAAAACATGGCACCAGTCAATGAAATCTACAACAGTTAGTCTAAGCCATGTAGGAAGGTGTAGATTTCCAGGTTGGGGTCCTCTGGACGGTAAAAACAAATGGTTGGAAACAATCGGTGACATGGCTCAAAATCGTTCTGAGTGGCGCAGATGCATCCACTCCCTGTGACTGATGATTTCTAATTAAACTATGTTGTTCTTCGTTACTTCTATTCCTTTGTCTCACACCTCTGTTTACTGTCTCTATTATGCATTTTTCTACTTCTGTTGCTTTGTGTGCTATAGGGAAGGAGTGTGGTGACTTGAACTGCCGCACATCAGTGCAAAGTTCTATGTCGAAAACAGTCAGACAGAAAGATCTGGTTCTCATGGAAACCATTGAATTTGATAGGCGTAGGGTAATCATAGTGAATTACAGTTAAGTTTTAAAATAACATATGGAAACCTTTCCTACGTTGACTACATTTTTGAAGAAATATTAAAGTATCGTGTCTTCTATCGAGAATTTCGGAGCTTGGAGACTGTTGGTCGCACAACTTCCTCATATTTTCCCTGTTCTCATCAATATTCCTTACATCTTTTCGGTTTCCTAACAATCCATTTAGTATAACCTCAGTTTCAGCAGAAAACTATTGTGTTAAATGACTAGTTATGATATTTGATGTGTGATGAACCTGTAAGATGCACTCTTATATATAATATGCACAGCTAGATACCACTCGTAATTCACGCCATTATTGTTATTAGGTTTGGATTGCTAAGAAACAATGCACTTGTAAAAGGGTTAACGTGATATGTACATTTTGTTAAGAAGTTGCCAGGTTATGATTCACGATACATTGGTTTGTCAGGCCAAGTTGATTATGCTTCGATGATCAAGAGTCCAGTTGGTTAGTGTAGCTGTGTGTGGGATGAGACACGCATTCAGTGCTCAAACCACTTTTTTCTGGATAGTTAAATCATAAAACTGTAAGCTGTGTTAAAATCTCAGCATGACTTAACGCATTCGTTAATTTATACCTTTTTTTCCTCAGGGCGTCGGTGGCACAGCGGTTAGGACGCTCGCCAACCATGCACATGGTCCGGGGATCGATCCCCGGCCGACGCCACACTCCTTTACCTCGCTAAGCCAGTAGTGAGACTGGTAAAGCGGAAAGGTTGGGCATGAGGCTAGCAACCCCATCTTGTAGAAAAATTAACACTGATACAGAAACTTCAAGCCTTTAGCTTGGAGCCGTATGTTCCACTGGGAACGTGAAGGAAAAAAATTTTTCCTCAGTTACCAAGCTCCTAGTTAACTTTGCTTATTTTTCAAGAAGGTGTTTATACCTACCTCACTCACAGGTCATTAAATCAATTCTTTTGAGTAGTCATCTTTTTAAGTAGTTCTAGGGTATACTGTTTGTATCATAATAATCTTTTATCATGTTTACAGCTACGTTTCTATTTCAAGATCTTGGTTCAGGATCAACTTTGAAGGGCTCCACTTTAGTACAATCATCAAAGACAAATCAATTTAATGACCAGGTGTTGGTTGCTCTGTATGACTTTGTTTCACCCAGTAGTCTCCTAGAAGATCAATCACAAACTCGAGTAGAGAAAGGTGAGTTACTGATAGTGTTTTGTGTTCGGGGGAAACTTTGTCTTTATATCTATGTATACATCACGGGTAATTTTTTATAGAGAAACAATATTTGTTGAATGTTGTCCCAATCTGTAATAAATTTTCAGCTAAACTGTTCAGTCAGGCTAAGGTAGAAGGTGATCTGTAAAGTCATTCACAGATAACATGATGTTTGGAATTTGTATTGGATTCTAAATTATCTGAACTGTTTTAATATAGTGTTTTCAGAAGTTTTGGTTGATGATATCTTCTATTTTATCCCTACTGACAAATATGGTTAGTTTAGGTACAAGGTTGGGGTTGTTCAGTCGGTTTAAAGATATTGTATTTTGTGCTGTTGTATGCCTTAGTGACAGATATGGATTATCTCGGGGTAAGCTGTAATGCGCCTTTACAAACTCCTTCTGTTAGAAGAAAAATAGCGTAGCTGGGTTGCTTATTGTTCAGGGTAAATGACTTACTGTAGGTGCACTCTTACTGTGGTCGTTGCTTTTAGTCTTACCACTATTCTGATGTGGTAGGACTCTGAGGAACAATAACTTGAGGTTGTTTAGCTCCTCAGGGCGATGCAGTACGCGGTTCTAAGCAACATCTGTTGATCAAGAGAGCGAGAGAAGCCAGATGTGTTATGAATTTTCCTGTGTTTTGGAATACAACCTCACGATTTTTGTTCATGTAGGTAACGTAGGATTTCGTGTATTGTGAAGGTTTTGGAAGTGAAGTGTTGAGTTTGAAGTCACGGTATCTGCTTCTTCTGGGTTTACAGAAGCTTGTGGATTCAGGCGGCATGCTCTTCAGTAGTTATCAGTAATTTGTGCTCTTGCCTTCAGGTCATTTCTTTTCAGATATGGTTAGGATATGTGCTTTTTATGTCTGGCCTAGCCATCGCCTCCCTCGATGATTGGCGATGTTAGCTGACGTAGGGTCAGGCTGCAAAAGAGCTAGCGGCGGTCAAATCAAAACAAGGCTTCATCAGTCAATGAAGTAAATCCACTACAGTTAGCTTAAGCCAGCCAGTCAGTCACGTAGGAAGGTGTAGACTTCCTGACTGGTTGGCGTCCTCGGGACGGTAGAAACAAATGAAGTCTGGAAACAACTGGTGATATGGCTCAAAATCGTTGTTCTCAATGTCTGGTGCAGATGCATCCACTCCTTGTGACTTATAATACCCAATCAAACTATATTGTTCTTCGTTATTACTATTCCTTTTGTCGCATATCCCTGTCTACTTGCTCTATTTTGCATTTCGTTTTACTTTCTTCTCTTGCTTTGTGTGCTAAAGGAGGGAGTATGGCGACTTGATCTGCTGCACATCGGTGCAAAGTTCTATGTTGAAAACAGACTGAAAGTCATAACATACTGGCTGTTGTTTTTCTAATGAAATATTCTATCGTGTCTTCATTAACCATCGTGATTTTGAAATCATATTTGGTGGATCTTCTATGATCGTTGAATGAATTGTAAAGCATACAATGATCTAACTTAAATGTCTTTACAGAATCATTGTTTTCAGACAACCTATTTACACTGTGCTTTCGTTTTCGAAGGTTTTTCTTGCCCTAGTTTATAAATAGGTTTGTTCCAGTTGGTGTTTCTTCTCTATTCTTTTGAGTTTATAAAGTGTAGCTAGATTAGTTAACTTGTTATTCTTCAATTAAGACTCTATTTTTTAAAAGAAAACTATGGGCTACATCTGTTAAGCCAAATGCTCGTTTTATTTTGTTATGCTCTATTTGACTGACTACATCGTTTCAACTACAAGCGGAACAGATGAAGACATCAGAATCGGAAAGAAAGAAAAGATACGACTTCATCAATCTGAAACCCGCTTGGAAATCGCCTTGCATTACTCACCCAGCATAAAGAACAAGATTCAGACTAATCAACTCATATGTAAAGTCAGTCAGTCAGTTCTCTTCTATACTGATCAGAAACTTGGCCAGCGCGTCACGAAAAAGATTTCCATTCCAACAGGTGACAAACTTTTATCAACAACTGCCCATTTTACTGGCTGACTCCATACTGAAAGTCAAATGATCAGAAAGTATAAGTAACAAGAAACTCTGGTTGGGGAACAAACCAACAGAGAAAGAGCCGTTCGCTCAACCAAATATGTAGGCGAAAATCGAGGCCGTAGAATGACACTGCTCGAGTGGAATATCAATGGAGTGGGAAGCGACGAGTTGGTCGTCGGCTTGTAGGGTGACGTGAAGGAGATAGTGTGGCGATGAGGAGATGAGAGAGATTATGGGCGATCGTGGGGTCAGCCCTCTGAAGAGGGCTGCAGAAAATAGGACAAAGTGTAGGTGTGTTTTTGAAGCCAGCCATATGTTCCACTCGAAACCCAAGGGAATAATAATAATCTGATAATAATAATACATCCTGTTATTGGAAAAGGAATTACACTTTTATTTTTATTTCTTTTTTATTTTCTATTCGGTAGAGTGAGGGCATACAACCAACTATCATCACTGTTTCCAACCAACAGTGGGGTTAGACAAGGTTGCCCAATCTCTCCATTTCTTTCTATTTAACTTTGCCATCGATGACATTCTGGAGTTAGCTCTGAAGGATGTGCGTGAAGGTGGTGTAGATCTGCTACCTGAAAATAGACTTTTCCACCTCGAGTATGCGGACGATATTGTCTTATTGTGCGATAGCATTCAGGCTGCCCAAATCGCACTTAATCAGTTGGCGATCAGTGTCTGTAAGTATGGTATGTGCTTTGCGCCGTCTAAGTGCAAAGTACTGTTACAGGATTGACAGGAGTCTGTACCTGCACTCACTCTTACGGGTGAACCGCTTGAAGTTGTTGATAAGTTTGTTTTTCTGGGTAGTTGTGTGAGTTCTGGCGAAGGGTGGGGTGACGGGTGAGATTTCCAACCGTATCATGAAGGCTAGGGTGGCATACACCAACTTGAGCTACCTCTGACGCCGTCGTGAAGTTAGCCTGGTTATTAAAGATCGGGTATACAATGCTCTACGTCTGTGAAACCTGGCCTCTCTGAGCTGAAGATGTGCGGTGGCTCCGGGTATTCGATCACCACTGTCTCTGCTGGATTGCTTGCATTCGATAGCATCACTGCGTGAGTAATTCGAGGTTCGGCGGCGTTTTAGAACACAGTGGAGATCACTACTGGTTGAGTGTCATCATCTGGAAACACCGGCTTTGGTGGCTTCGATAAGTGCTATGAATATCATCCTAGAGGCTTCCGTACAGGTCTCTGTTCGCTAGCCAGCCCTGGGACGGGATGGAAAAGGCGGAGGGGTGGTCAGTCCATGAAAGTGTGGAGTCATGGGATGAAGGATATTTGTGCTAAATTAGCATCGGTTGGTGCGTCACAACTCCCTGGTTGGGGTCCGCGAGGTAGCTGGAATCGACGGCTCGAAGCGTTATTTTATGTGGCCAAGAATCGTAATCAATGGCGAACGTATTGCAATTTCCTTCTTTCTTCCTTTTTCGATGGTAGTTGACAAATACTGTTTGAACTTGTTAAGTATGTCTGTTTTCCTTCCAGATGAAGTTCTTTATCCGTTCTCTATTTTTATATTTATATATATATATATGTATATTAATTTTTGATCCATGTTGTTTTATTATTATTATTGTGTGGCGCATCTTTCTTGGTGCTATATTGTACCAAGTTGTTTTTCTGCGTTTAAATAAATAAATTTATTTTTATTCAGCTGTAGTAGTTTTTGTTGTTATGAGGAGTTGAAGATATCTATTATGTTAACTACTCTTCTTTTTCTTTTGTATTTAGCGTCGAAAGTCTAAAAAAGGTCTATATTTATCTAGTTCTTGAGATATTTAACTTATCTTTTATATGTTTATTATTTTGGTGATCCAGTAAGTTATGCTAGAGCTTCTTGTGTATCATTCATTGTATGGTCATTCTTTTCTTTCTTTTTTTTGTAATACATTATACTGTAGGTGATCATTTACACCTGTTTGGTTATAGTGCCGATGGGGATTGGGCTGATGTCGAATGTCTACGAACTAATGAACGTGTTTGGATACCAACCAATTATACTAGTCGTGCAATGACTAGTCATCCTAGTGATCCATTTATTAATAATCATTTAAATACTGGATCAACAACACCTGCTGGTGGAGGTTCAATCACTTTTCAACAAAAAAATAATCATGAGATAAGCTATAATGGTGGTGTGGGTGGCGGTTGTGGTGGTAGTCAAGGCAGTTTAGCTGGAGTCGGCTTAGAAGCAGAAAAATGGTATCATGGAGCTATTCAGCGTAGTTATGCAGAATATTTACTCAATAGTGGGATAACTGGCAGTTTTCTTGTCCGTGAATCAGAAAGTCATCCTGGTCAACTGACTATTAGCCTACGTTATGAAGGCCAGATATGGCATTATCGTATTCATCGGGATGAAGCCAATCTAGTAAGTCGTCTAGCTTTTATCTTTTCATATTTAAAAAAAACTTATACACTAGTCATCATAAAATTACCTTAAATAATCCCAGTGTGTGTGTGTGTGTTTATCTAAGGTCTGGATATTCGTTATCAGTAGGATTCTTTACTTATTCTTATATTTTCGTGGAAAATGGGTAAAACTACTTTGGTTGGACACTAGTAACTATTGTGATCCGGGAGGTCAATCGCGAACCTGAACCCCTGCTCAGTGGTAACGTGTCTGATCGACTGCAGGCGGCACTGAGTGACGGGGGTTCTAATCTCAGAAGGGACATGAGTTCCTTCAAGTTTGCGGATACGCCCTGCTGACTGATGAGTGCCAACCAGGACGAAACTTAGATCCAGTAAGGCTTCCCGTGACCGATTGCCTCCAACCATCTGATATCATCAATGGGTAAAACTAGTTGATACAAAAGACTATTATTGGATGTATGTTGCACAGAAATCTTTAGTCTGTTTCTCCCCCTCCCACACCACCTCTTCTAAATAGGGATTAAAAATTTCTTGTGACTTTTACTCTATGTAGGTTAACTCCTGTGTAATTTATTACTAGTTTATTTATGAATATTGGAATTATTTAAGTCGTCAATTATCTCTTCAGTTGAAAAATCTCTACAGCGACTGCTTCAGGTATGCTTAGCAACTGAAGACGTGCCAACCTACCTAGGGAGTTGAGGTGTGGCATTTTGTATAGAATTGTAAAAGCTGAATTTTTTTTGTCAATCTTGTGCTCCGTATCCACTAGGTGTACCAGTGTGGAGCTTCTGATTGACTTTATGATTCCTTTACCTAAGTAACCACGTTGTACAATGCTGTAGAGAAGGCGACGATGGGCTTGCCAAGTCGTTCTACCTATGTAACTGTCTCCACATGAACAGTTACATTTTATAAATTCACATTGAAGCGGTCGAACTCGGTAGGCTATTTTTCAAATGCGTTAAAATTATACTATGAGTGTCGAATTTTAAACACAATGCTGCGACAAAAAATGTTTTAGCTATTATTATATTTTCAAAGTTTCGATGTCAGCAATTCACTTGCTGCATCTCCTTTAAACGGTAAAATCATGTATATGCGTTTCTTCTGCATAGTTTACAGGCATTTCTTCCTTTCTGTTCTCCTCATCGAGACTTTAACAAATTTTTCCGCGTATCCATTCTGGTATAAAATGTTTTCTATTTCCCTAATATATCATCCTGAGCGATGCTGGGGACATCACTCGTACCAAATTCCCATGAAACTTCATGAACTCTCTTACAAGTTGCCGCGCCTGAGCAGTGATGGTTCGAGACTTTCATGAAGCCGGCTCATCCTCCCGTAGGAGATAGCCGAAGTAAAGTAAAGTAAGTATCCATCGGCTAGAGTGTCGGTTGTGCAAACTTTTCTAGCACGATACATTAGGGTACTGCTGATAAGACTTCGTTTGTATGCAAGAGGAACAAACGACTTGAAATGGATGTATTCACCAACCTTCTTCTGGAAAATGCTCCTTTAAAAACTGCCATTTTGTTGTCTGTCTTTATCCCTTTCATATGTGTGTACTCAATTTGTGGGTGAGCTATAATTTGAACGTTTGGTGAAGGACCTCAGTATCGATTTTAATCATTATGAAAGATAAAAGTATCATTCACATATAAATCTACAGTAGAAAACGAGAGTTCGTTGATTAATTTCCATTTGTTGATGAAATTGTTATTACTATTTCCTTTAGTTCCTAGAGGGACATAGGACTTCAGCCGCTCACGTCTCCATTTGTTCGGTTCTCTGCTAAAGTTTTCATCACCTGGCTCTAGGTCTGATCACATGCTTTCATCTCCTCTTCATATGACCTCATCCAAGTCACCCTCACACTGACAACCAACTCGCCGCTTCCATTTCGGGTTCCACTTGAGCAATGGCTTGTCTAGTGATGTCACTTGAAAGTTTGTTTCCTCAGAGTGTGGCCAATCCATCTCCATTTCTTCCTGCTTATTTGTTACACGATCAGTTCCTGCTGGGTTGGTTCGCTCCCAGATACCTTTGTTGCTGATCTTTTCTGAGCGGTCATCTGATCGTGAGTAGTGTTGAGCGAAAACAGCTATTGATGAAGGTCTGTAGTTTGTTCGAAATGCTCTTCATGGTGCGGCGCCAAGTCTCTGATTCGTATAGTAACACTAACTGCACATTGGAATTGAAAATCCGGATCTTATTTTGATTTTCGTACTGAGTGTTGTTGACCTCCACACAGACTTGAGAGAAATGAAAGCTTGTCTTGCTTCCCGAACCTCGCCTTGATATCCTCGTTAGTTCCACCCGCCAGTAGTTGAAACGATGGTTCTCAGGTAGGTAGGTAAAGGAGATTGTTTCTTTCAGGTTCCTCCCTTTTATGCTGATTGTTGTCTGTTGGTGTTGGCTAGGAATCTTCATCACCTACCTCTGTATTCTCTACGTTCACCTGAAGTCCTATCTTTGATGCTTTTTATGACAACTTGTTGTTGCTTTTCACTTGCATATCTTCCAGTTTGTAGGAAATCAGACATATATCATCGGCGAAGTCCAGATCCTCCAAGTTTTTTGTGTGGGTCCATTTATTATCTGTTTCCTCGTTGCCCGGCCTGCTGTCTGTCGCATTACCCAGTCTATCGCCCTCAATCAGGAAAATCATTGGCGATAGTAGACAGCCTTGCCTTACTCCCGTCCTCACTTCGAAAGATTCCGTAAGTTTCCCGTTGTGGATTACTTGGCATGCAGCATTGTCGTACAACTGTCAAATGAGATGTATACTTGTTGGTGACACCCCGTAGTAGCAAAGTAGTTCCCAATTCACCTCTCGATGGACACTGATTCGATCTTCATGTAATACAACTAGTAGGTATTTTAAGTTGAACCGGAGAACTTGAATGTAGCCTTTCTGTTCGTGTACAAGCGCGTTGTGTTTTTTTTACCGACTTAGCTGTTAGGCTTAGGTGTTGACAATAAGGCTCTTTCTAAAGCTCACTCAGTATCACAACGTTAGGGCTGATAAGGTGGGTAAGTACATCTGATTCGAGTCCTTCTGTGATGCAGGTTATTTGTTTCAGATTCCATTGTCACCCCATTATTAATTAAATTAAATAATATTTCTAGTTTTCATCGTACTCTTCTTTCTTTCTTTTTTTTCAAATTTATTTTAAACCAGTACTTCGTAATAGAATCGAACAAGTTTACGTCAGTTTCTGATCTTGTCCGTCACCACGAGAAACACTCAGATGGTTTAGCCTGTACATTATTATACCCAGCACCAAAAAGAGATAGAACAAGTTCAGAGTTACGTATGGATCCTGGATTTGATGTGCGTGAAATAGATCGAACTGAAATAGTGATGAAACACAAATTAGGTTGGTTTAATGTGTATATATTTTTTCTTTTATGCGTATGTATGATTTATTTTATTTATATATTAATCCCCTGAACTGTGAACGTCGGTGGCACAGCGGTAGATTGCTCGCCAACAACCCATATGTCTGTTTGTCTGTTTTCGACATAGAACTTTGCACCGATGTGCAGCAGATCAAGTCGCCATACTCCCTCCTTTAGCACACAAAGCAAGAGAAGAAAGTAAAACGAAATGCAAAATAGAGCAAGTAGACAGGGATATGCGACAAAAGGAATAGTAATAACGAAGAACAATATAGTTTGATTGGGTATTATAAGTCACAAGGAGTGGATGCATCTGCACCAGACATTGAGAACAACGATTTTGAGCCATATCACCAGTTGTTTCCAGACTTCATTTGTTTCTACCGTCCCGAGGACGCCAACCAGTCAGGAAGTCTACACCTTCCTACGTGACTGACTGGCTGGCTTAAGCTAACTGTAGTGGATTTACTTCATTGACTGATGAAGCCTTGTTTTGATTTGACCGCCGCTAGCTCTTTTCCAGTCTAACATCGCCCGTCATCGAGGAAGGCGATGACTAGGCATGCATAACACATGTCCCAAACCATCGCAATCGATGTATTTTCACAGCCTCGTCTGTTGATTTCCCCACCTTACTTAGCACTCGACCGATGCCTAGCCTCAATATTGCTCACCTTATTATACCACTTGACACGGGAGATAGAGCGCATGCCCTTATGGTCGAAGACAGCTAATCTTTTCATGTCTTCCACTCTTAAAAGCCAGGTCTCACAGCCAGTCACGACCCATATGGTTCTGGTTTGGATCCCGGGCCGACACACTCCTTTACCTCGCTAAGCCAGTAAGCAATAGGACTGATAAAGGGGGAAGGTGGGGGGGCATGAAGTTAGCATCCCCACATCCCGTAAAAATAAACACCACTGTTACCGAAACTTCAGAGCTGGAGGCTTGAAGCCCTATGTTCCACTAGGAACGTAAAGGAATACAAATAAAAAAAATCCGTAAACTGTTGTTTGCGTACTTAATATAATAATAATAATCCCTTTATTCCAAACAGAATGGAATTTTCAGCACTCGTTTTCACATATTGAGCAACAATTTAGCTCCTTTTACAAATAAATGGAATTACATAAAATTTAAAATAGTAATAATAGCAGTATTAATAATGAAACCGCCACAATAAATATAATGTTGGTGGAAACATAACGAAGTATAAGTGGATAGTACCATAGATAATACCAGTAATAATAATAATAATCTTTGCGTATACTCACTTTGCAGTTCAGTCACCGATTTAAATAGTTCACAGGTACTTTCCTGACATCTGACTTGCTCTTCACACACACACACACACACAACCACGCGTGCTAATTTGATTTTGATTATAGCTTGACTCCACACCGTATTTTTGGTACAAGTATGGAATTTTAAGCATGTGATACCGGTAGGCCAAATTTTGCAGGCCGACCCTTGATATCAGGTGTGCGTCGTCGGCAGGCGATCAAACTCTGGACCATGTGCGCATGGTCGACGAGATTCCTAACCACCTGTGCCACCGACGCAATCTCTATGCTTTGTTATATCCAATAAAACTCTACTGATCTTCCATAATGCTGTTCTTTTTCCCTTACACTCGTGTTTATTATCTCTCTCTCTCTCTCCCTGTTTCGAATCCCTCTTTACTCTCTTCTCCTGATTTGTGTACTACGAGGAGGGGGGTGCAGTGTGACAACTTGAACTGCTGCGCATATCTGTGCAAAGTTGTTCTATGTGGAAACCAGCCAGTCACTAACTTACTTCATGACTGGCGTATGTGCACAACACGACATTGATTTATTTGGTTATAAATGTGATATGCATTTATTCCCCTTAGTGAATTTGAACAAAGCAAGTACTACGGTTTATGCAGAATAAAGTGGTACCATCATTGTTTATTTCGTTGCCTTGTCGTCAGCTGCTTACAGGCCAATGACATTAATAAATATATACACAAAACAATTTTAACATACATACACAGAGTTCATTTTAAACCCTCAGGGTTTCAAATCATTGTACGTATTGTTGTCAATCAATTTCTTCTTTAGGAGATCTCTCAGTGCGTTTGTGATACGTTTTTCGACTGCATCTGTCTTACCTTTCTTGCAGTTGTCAACTTTAAACCTCAACGGATCGTTTAACACAATTTTCATCTTTGCGATGTAGTCCTCTTTGTCCATCAGCACCACTCCTGAGCCTTTTGTCATGTCGCAGTATAACAGTTTTGTCATTATTCTTGAGAGCTTTCAATGCTCTTTGATGCTCTTCAGAAAGTACTTTGGAATATGACATTTGTCTTCTAAAGAAGAACTTGATGGATAACAATACGTAGAATGATTTGAAACCCCGAGGGTCACGCTTGCGAAATGCTGAAAAGTTTCCATTGTGTATGATTATTATTGTTCGGAATAGTGTTTAATATTATATATATATATATTATTGTTCCCTTGGGTTCCTAGTGGAACATAGGGCTTCAACTGCACGTCTCCCTCCACCTGCTTCTGTCTTCTGCTGTACTTTTCACCTGCATCCATGTTAGTACATACTCTTTCGACTCCTCTTCACACGATCTCCTCTATGTCACCCTTGCATTGACGTCCCACTCACCGCTTCCCTTCCGGGTTCCACTCGAGCAATGGCCTGACGCGCGATGTCACCCAGCGGCCCGGCCTCCTCAGTGAGTGTCCAATCCATCTCCACTTTCTCCTGCATATTAGTTGGTTGGCGATTGGTTCTTGTTTTGTTTGTTTGTTCCCATAGTTTCCCTTGTTGGTGATTCTTTCCGGCCCCCGGCCATCTGATCTTCAGTATAGAGCCAGCGAAGACAGTTGTTGGTTGATAAAGGTCTGCAACAGGCTGTTGGAAATATTCTTTGTGACCCGCCAGCCCGCCAAGTTTCTGATCCGTATAGAAGAGCTGACTGACTTGACGTTGTTTGTATTGAAAATCCGACTGAATTTTTGTTGTTGATGGTGAGTTGAGTGACGAATATTTCCAGATTGGTTTCAGGTTGGTTGATGAATGTGTTTCTCGCTCGCCTTCCCGATTCTCACTCGATTTGACATCCTCGTCCGTTCCTCCTGTAGTTGAGACAATGCTCCCTAGATAAATGAATGAAGTCCGGTCCGCTCAGGAGTCCAGTCTCAAGCCCGGATAAAGAGGAAGGGTTGGGGCATGGTGCTAGCAACTCCAACCCCCAAAACTTAACCAAAATGCTACGGAAACTTCAACGCATATATATATATATATATATATATATATATATATATATAATTACTGTATGCATGTATTGATCGATTGAGTTTTGTTCAAAAATGAACTCTGTGCAAGTATGTTCAAATTGTTTTTGTAGATATATTCAATAATGTCTTTGCCCTGTAAGCGGTTGACGAGAAGGCAACGAAATAAGCAATGATGGCAGCAATTTATTTTGCTAAAACTGTAGTTCTTTTTTTGTTCAAATGTGATATGCCTTTGAACGTGTCAAAGGGAAATATATGATTTAGAAGTCAACTCACTTGACATGGTGGAATATAAGCGCCAATGCATTGTGCAATCGGCTGCAATCTCCCAAGACTTAATAGTCGACATTTTAGTGTTGTTAATTCACTTTTGGCTATATATATATATATATATATATAGGTCAAATATTCGTATATATCACTACACTAATTCTTCTATCTTTCCCTTCCTTGTATAATATCGATTTTAGAACTGCATGAAATATTTGTTTCATTGATTTGCTGTTTCTTTGATAGTGTACACTTCCTTGGATCACCAATGTTTTTTGGTTAATTGTTTGTTTTTATTCTTCTCCCGGGGGCGGGGTGGTTGGCGGAGGTCAATGTTAGTGTGTGTGTGTGTGTTTCCACTTTCATCTCTCTTCATTTTCTTTCACCTCTAGAGGAGTAGTGAGTGACCTTTTATGTGTTTATCAGAGATAATTTTTTTTAAATAAAGCAGACAAACCAAAAATGATGCTTTTTCATATAGGCTTAGATAGTACAAGGCCAATGACTGACGACATCCACACCTACTTCAGCAAGGATATTCATTCAGACATGTATAAAACACAAAATAATCGAGCAAAGAATATCCCCTTTCGATAAATTGCTCTTCTGGCTCTATAATTATATATATGCATGTTTATATACATAGAATATTCTAGAATAGTAGTCAATAACAATATTAGTGTTTTTTTAAATAATACAGATTTGTTAAGTAAGATAAACGGAATTATAATTCATGAAACGATGATTAAATTATAATAATAATAAAGATATAGCGAATACAATATCAACAAAAATTAGGAAAATTCCACAAAAATTTAGGATCACTCAAACCTAGATGGCAAAACTAGTGACAATGTCTGAACTAGCTTCTTTTGAACGCATAAATTAGACTTCTTAATATGGATCCCAACAGAGCTAACCTCAGCAGTATTTAGTAGTCGAAATCGTAAGGCGAAATTAAGATTCGTAGTTATGCGGCAAATGGCCGTAAAAGCATGGTTAACATCAATCAGTCTTATGTTTTGTATCCACAAGATGAGATAGAATAGCACTCCGAATAGATTGTGTTTGACCTTTGCATAAACACACAGGCTGATGTTCGGAAATTCGAGGAGAAACACGCCTAGTTATATGGCCTGTGCAGCTAACTGTCTCACTGCACAGGAGCAGTTAAATTGTTGGATATAGATGCAAGACGCGAAATTAGGCATTTTGTCTTTTACTCCCGAACGAATGCAAAAGAGAAGTGGCTTTGATGTTACAGTGTAAATTCAGCAACAGGGAATGCTCTTTTTACCGCCTCATTTCTAAGGCACTGTGTTAGCCTGATTTATGCATCCAAAAGAAGTTAGTTCAGACATTATCATAACCCCGTTGGCCATCTAGGTTTCAATGATCCTGAATTTTTTTGGAATTTTCCTAATTTTAGT